AAGTTGCTCTGATGAAGCTTAAAATGCATGCGTCAGGAGATAAAGGCCTGCCACAGGTATCAGTGCCAAACTTATATTACAAAGTACCTTCCATTCATTTATGACAAATATAACATTAGAAATTCCTCCTCTGCAGACAGAACGGACGTATTTCCAGGTGTTTCTGCCAAAAGAAGCTAAAGACCCTAGTTTGCCCATGTTCTTCTGCTCTAAGTGGAGTGTTGGCAAAGTAGTGGACTTTGCTGCATCTCTGGCCAGTCTGAAAAACAACAACAACGTGCTCACAGCTAAGGTCAGCTATACAGCACAACATAAAACTTTGTTCTATAGGACAGTGCCCTCATCCCATCTCTGTACATTTTGCATGTCTCCTTTGTCTGATGCACCCATTTCAAGTCTCGAATCAGGTGTGTTTAATTAAGAGACATGCAAGATGTGCATTGTTGGAGGGCTCCAGGAATGTGGTTGGGGGGGCCACTGTTTTAGGATTATGATTATGTAACAAATTGATTTCTTTATTATTTGGTGAAAACAATTCACATTAACAGACCACTATGCTCTGCACAGAAATTGCGTTTGTGTCACCCTGAGACGGGTGAAGCCTTTAGGATGGATGCTAGCCTCCAGTTACTGCTCTCCAATACAGACTGTCCTCTGCACAACGGAGGCAACGTCATTCTGGAGTATCTGGATAACGAGAGCTCTGGACTGGATGATGTGACAGCCTATATATCTTCCTCCTGAGAGAAAATCTCATAACCATTCAGCAGAGTTTTATGGTAAAATAATTTGAGGAAAGTAGGAAACAAAGGGTGTCAGATTGGACTATGTCTATTGTAAATATACATGATTTGCTTATTTTTAATAAATGGGTCAATGGTATGACACTTTTTCTTTTGTCCTGTTTATTAATTTATTCAAAAATACATAAACACAAAAATGCAATTCATAAATGAAAAGCCTTGAATACACTTTTTCTGTGAATTTTATTTTGATATTTAAAACAGGGGTGCTGTGACTGTTCACAAATAGAAAAAACCTCATTAAAAGAATGACATTCTTGACTTCACTAAGTAGTTTGACAATCTTTTACTATTATTTCAGATTAGATAATCTGACGTTTTTTGACATAGCAAGGTTAATATCATGTGGCACAACTCTTCAAAAATGTAATGATATTTAAGTAATTATATAAAGAATTACTTTTCTTTTTTAAATGATTATCATGTGTACAGTTACTTTATGTAAGGACAATCTATTATTTTCTTTTTTACTTCTAATCCTAAATTCTAGGAAAGATTTGGCTTCCACATTTAAGCCATGAGAGAAATGCTACATTGCTGTCAAGCAGAAATGATGTACTTAAGTATTCTTCTCTCACCATTTGATGCCATTAAGCAGGATTTGACACATTGATGTGTCCCCTAATTGCCTCAAATGTCTGAAGGCAGTCAAAGACAGCTGTTTTCCTTTGTGAATTTTCTTTGTGGAAAAGGTTTTTTTTCACATACTGAAATACCGTATTTATATACTGCATTCTGCAATATAATGCATTCTGAAAGTTAATGTGTGAATTATATGTAATGAATTAAACATGACGATAAAGATCTGTTTTTAATCAAATACAAATACTACATCAGAATCTTGCATCAGATAATTTGACATTTTCCATTTTCTCTGGACTCCATAGATCATTTGATAACATCACAAATACATGACTTTCCCAGTTATAGATTACTATATTAGATACATGATTTTAAAGTTTTGAACAAATTGTTTTAGTAGTTAAATTAGTCACATAAAAAAGTGTGTGTAAAGTGAAAATTTAGAAAATGTTTTTCTACAGAGGCCCACATACTTGTGATAAAACTAAGTGTGATAAACCTTTTATATGTTCTATTTCACTTATTCATAAGGAAGATTAGGAAGATTACCTTTTTTCAGACCTTTTCTTGCTCTTGATTGGCTAGTGTTGAAGGTCATTTTTACTGAAGGTTTACTAATAATCTGTAAATAAAGGGGCACAGTGACAAAAGAAACAAATGCAAACACATACACAACTAACCTGTAACCTGTAGTGAGTCTGTGCATTATTAATAATAAAAGAAGACACAGAAGTCACAGATTTCTAATATTGATTGCCTTATTTTTGTGCAATATCAAGATCAAGGGCAATAAGGGCCACTAAAGGAACTGCTGAAGGTCTCTGGCTTGCGGTGGCGAGAAAGAAATAAAGAGCTTTCTTTAATTCAGCATTCAATGGGAAATATCTGATTTGTGACAAAACAAGAATCATCAGTATCAGCAGAAACAAAGATGATGAACATGGGTGCTGGTGAGGAAAAGAACACAGACAATGCATTTTTCCCCAGCTGGTTTAAGAGAAGCTTTTACAATATGACTATTATTATTATTATTATGCAAAAGTATGTCTCTTGTGGAAGGCTTGTCAACGTCATTAAATGGAAAGTACATTACATTGTAACTTCTTGAGGTGACAAACCTGTCCCTTGACTTTTCAGTCATGAAAAAAGTTGCATTTATTTTTATAATATCAATTTACATCATGTGAAAAAAAAACCTCCATCTGGTACAACTGTGACGTTTAGCGTTATTCTTTAAATTATTTTGTTTTCCAGGGTTAAACATTAGTGCAAGGTCTAACAATTCTGCAGGACAGCAAGTCAAAATAAGTAATTAATGATATAAATAATTAGAAAAGAATGCTTGCCCAAAAGCTTGCTTTTTCTAAAATACAAACGGTTGTGGAAACTCAAAATCAAAAAAAAATTATTTTCATAAATGTTTTTTATTATGCTTTTTTCATATTTAAATATG